AATTATTTATTACATCTTAAAATAATATTTTTTCCATTATGAATAAAACCCATAATTGACCAATTTCATATTTAGACAAAAAATGATAACCGTCAACCTTAGCTTGTCCCATGGAACCTGTCGTCAACGAGGGACCATTTTTGTGTCGCTCAACGGCTCGGGGATCGAACCCATGACATGTCTTTAATTTCGACAATGTCATCCCACCATTTTACCAACTGAGCTACACGTCATATACCATATCATCATTCCGTATTAGCATTTTTTTATAGGTCACGCGATTAAAGTATTCTCAAGATTATTGTCTTCAAGAGCTTTATAATTAATCATGGTATATGTAACTTCGTTCAGGAATGTCGTAAAAAATATTTTTTTAATATATGAATGAATGCTATCCAAAAGAAGAATATATAGCTTTTAGGGACCGTTTATCAAACACTTACCCGGTAAATATTTATCAGTAAAATTTAATACTATTATTTACTTTCCAAGTAATATTTTAGTCTTCCAAAATAACATCATATGCAACAATTTACCTGATAAGTGCTTACTGTGATAATAGTCATCACTCTCACTTACCGGGTAAAACTTTTGGTCCTTGTCTCGTTTATTCGGTCAAATGTTTAGTAAACGACCCTAATTGTCATATATTTTTTTTTGATAAAATAAAAAGTGATGTAATTTTTAAAAAAATGAAGTGTAGGACACGGATTATACTTTTCCACAAGAGAGGAATACAATGAAAAGTAAGCAAAAGATCGCGGAGAAATATAAGAAGAAACAAGGTCCCACTTTTCAATATTTTTTTTTATTTATTTTTTATTTTTTTATCTTCATATTTTGAAAATAATTCATATGATTTTTGACCGGCGTTCTAATAAAATATTAAAAGATTCAGGCTGCGTTTATTTTTTAAGAGGTGTTAAAGTTTGAAGTCTTATTTTACTTTTGATTTATAACAGTTGATGTTGAAGTTTGAAACGTGGATCGGTAAGAATGTTTGTTTTTATGTCTGAAGTCTGAAATCTGAATCGATCAAATTAGTGTAAAAATATAAAAGATAAATAGTTTTGCCTAACAAATCTCTTCCAGTCCCCAAAATCTGAACCACTCGTTACAGCGGATTAGGATTAAGAAATATTAAAGGATACATTTATCACTTACAATTTCAGATGACATTTAGAGTTTTTAAGCTCTTATTAAAAAAAAAACAAGCGCTCTTAAATTAGAACATATGATGGGATCAGATTTTAGAAGTATTAAGAGATAATTTTAAAAAAACAAACAGATCCTTAGAGAGTATTTTTCAAACGTTATATTGGGTAAGTGTTTACTGAAATTATGAAAAAGAGTCGATATATTTGTTTTCCTTGTTGGGTAACATTTTAGGGTGCGTTTGATACACTGGATAGGGACATAACAGAACAGAACAGGGATCTCTGTCCCATATTTGGCATGAATTTTATATGGAACATAGTGGAACATGTCTGTTCCACCCCTACCCCATGGAACAGGGTGGAACAAAGTTGAACAGACTTATATTTTACCAACATAACATCAAAATAAAACTTAATTATCTTCTAAAACATCAAATATGTTTCTTTTTTACATTTTATTCATTTTTTAAATTTTATTTATTGTATTTTATGTTTCTTAAACTTTCATTTTACTGTCCTCAAAGTATTATTTTTATACGGTTTCTATATTTTTATTAACTATAAGAGTTACTTGTACAATGCAGCGAGACACATATCGATTTTAATGTTCTATTTTATTATTTGTCTCTATCGATGTTATAATACGATTTTATGTGTTTTTAAAAAAAAAATGATTTTATTTTTGAATAAAATATAATTTTGAAAGTATCATAAAATTTTGAAAAAAATATATATCAATGTTAATATCAAATCAACTATTTAAAAGTTCTCATTTTTTATGTAATTTCTTTAATTTATTTTTTTATTATAATTTAATTTAAGTTTAGTAACGAAATAATTAATTTTGGTTTAATAATATAACATTTTATAAAGATAATAATTAAGTATTCTGTTAGAACTCAATGATTATCCTAATTATATTTTAGATTTTTTATATTTAAAATGAGATGTTTATCCTGTATTTGATTATGTTTATCTGCAGTTAGTTACACGAATTCAGATATCGAGCTTTAATAAGTTATACTTACACACAATCTACTTGCAATCTTGAATTTTAAGTAATATGCATTAATAAACAGTACTTTACGTATAAAAAATGGTTTTTAAGAGTTTTTGTCAAATGACTTATAATATAGTATAGATTTATGTAATTTATTGTATATTAATAATAAAACATAATGTAGAAAATAGATAAAAATAGAAAACTATATAAACTTTTTATTTGGTATATGTTAGTCCCGAAGGGAATGGCAATAAGCATAAAGTAATTGTAGAAGGGGGGGTTGAATACAATTACACAAACTTTTTTCAACTTTTTAATTCTTATTGATTTATATCAAGAATTCATACACACAGAAATACAAAAGATTGTTGCGGAAGATAGGAAAGGAAAACCTAACCTAAACAATCTTACAAGGAGAAGAACTTTCAAGAACAACACAGAGAGTTCTTGAAAGGAAATGAAGAACACTAAGAATTTCTTCGCACACAGGAGAGCAAGGGAGTAGAAGAGAATAGCCGATTGCTTTGAGAGTGCACTAAGCAACATTGCAAAAGCCAGTTGTGTGCATGGGAGATGCACACTACCTTTTTATACTACCTTCAGCATTTAATGCATGGGGACATTTGTCATTTGATGATAAGAAGGCAGGGGTTGACTTGACCAATGTTGATATCTCATTTTCATCGTACACAGCATGCATACAACACAATTCATGCGGAGACAAACTTTGCAGAGATATGGTCAGTTTGAGGAAGATCTCCTTTGGATAGATATGTAGCTTCAAGCAGCTACACACAAGTCTTCGGTCCATGGAGATTTTCAATCTTCGGTCCATGATCTTTAAACTTGAGTCCATGAAGATTTTCAATCTTCGGTCCATGATCTTCAATCTTGTCCATGAAGATTTTTCAATATTCGGTCCATGATCTTCATTATTGAGTCCATGAAGATTTTCAATCTTCGGTCTATGAAGATCTTCCTTCAATCGGTTTGTAGCTTCAAAATACTTTCAATATGCATTTCAACTACTTCGGAGTCTTGGTGTGTATATTAGACAGTTGATCTACAACACCGCATTGGTGACCTTCTGTCTTCACATCGGCTAGTCTTCGATTTTGCCAATGGCTTTAAGTATGTACCAAGACACCAATTTACAAAGAACCAATAACTACTAAGTGTTGCTAATGTAGATGAACAGATCAGTGGGTCATCACTAAATCAATAGGTGACCCAACAGTATCATTTTAATTGTTTTGACGAAAACGTGAAATGATATATTTTGTTATAAAAAACAATTATTCTATTATAATTTAATAAATTACAAAAATTAATTAAAATAAACAACTTATCAAGGGTAAATTGGTCATTTTACTTGTTCTATTCTGTCCAGTTTTATCTTACCAAACGTTGAACAGTTGTTCTATCCTGTCATATCCAGTCCAGTATTGTCCTGTCATATCCTGACACCAAACGCACCCTTAAGGTCATCGAAATGAACTGTTGGTAAACATTAACTAAATACAAGTCTTATCTCTCATTTATCGAATAAGATTATCGATCCTAACTACACCCTTTTGCCATTCTCGGAGTCTTTATTTGATAAGTGCCGGAAAACATGGCAAATTGCATAAAGAAGGCATATTTATTCAGTTTTTATATTCATAAGATATTTTCAAAAGAATTATTAGGAAGCTTTTAATTTGAAGATATTTTAACTGATGATTTATAATCTGGTATTTTTATAAGTTCTGGTTACTATCATTTCAAAAACCAGTCATGTTTCATCTGTACCACGTTAACATTAAGTATAAAAATGGACATTTTCATAGCTATATACTTTAAATGTAACTCTGAAAACATTATTTGCAAATAAGAATTGAATGAATACATATATTTCTTTTTGATGCAATTTATTTGAGGTTATAACAATATATACGAGTTAAATATAAACATCAGTTAATTCAAACGTACATATCACCCTAATGATTATTTTGTAACGAAACTAAAGTAAATAACAAAATTGCAATACGGGTTCTTGTAGGTATTCAAGTACCCTCTGTCACAAGCCAAATTTACTTTATTTACCTTTTAATAGTTCTATTAAGAGGTTGTCTCTGAAACGTTAAGAGATGAATCTTGTTTGACAAAAAAAATACGCCTCTTAATGGTTCTAAACACCCTGAATGATTTTGTATCTTGGATTTCCCTTAACCATTTAGCGCCCTAATTTCATTGTAAACAATTACCAAACAATTATATTTAATTTTGCATTATATCATGAGAGTCTCAATTAATTATTATGATCACTTAATAATTTACACCAAACTATTCAACAACTGTCAAACATTCCCTTATTTATTTATTTATCACTTATATCAATATTACTGGAGTTTAATGTAATTGTTCAATAAAAATAAGGAGCCATTTACCAAATACTTATCCGGTAAACGCTTACCGGTAAAATTCAACATTATCACTTACTTACTTGATAAAATTCTAATCCATCAAAACAACATCATATGCAACTATTTATCCGGTAACCGAATACCATGGTAAAAGTGATCACCTTCACTTACCGGGTAAAACTATTGGTCTTTGTTTCGTTCTTACAGAGTAAGTGTCATGTTAATTAGGATAAGCCTAAAATGTAATGGTTTGTTGATTTTTTTCGAGTATTTCCTTTTATTTAAATATGTAAATATAAAAAGAAAAGTAATAATTATTTTTTAATTGCTGGTTTTTAATTATTATTATCCTATGTATATAAAAGAATTTCTCCTGGTAGGAACTATCATGATTCACGATCTGATCAGCCAGCCATATCGGACTACGAATGTTCTCCATGCCACCCCTAATATTTAACCCCTTTGATCCATGGCTCTGATCAAAGATTGCACCGCCACCAAGCCACCGTCCACGGCCTCCCGGAGCAGCTGCTTTCTCGGTTGTTTTGGTTGTTCCGGTGACAGGATGCAGCCCACGGAGGAAGTCAACTCAGCAGGCAGCCGGCGTCAATCATGGGTCTTTAAATGGAAATCCAGTTTCAAGAAATCCGCCGCCAAGACAGTTCCGGTTGACCTTGCCACCGTCCCCCGGAAAACTAAATCGTTTACCCTTGCTCCGGCGACATCCAATACAACATGGGAGATTCAGGTGGTGGAAGAAGATGATGCAACGTTGACTAAAAAACCTGTGATCATGGTTGAGGAAAACCATGTTCCGGTGAGGTCCGATGAACAAAATAGTCGTCGGAAAAAATGGATAGATATTGTCAAGCGTCAAAACAGGTCATACCGTAGCCGCCGGAAAGAAATGAAAGCAGCCGCCGTGTCTCCGTCCCACCTTGACTCGCCGGAGAAAAAATCTACGACGATATCTCATGACCCTATTGTTTTCTCCCCTAATAAACCCTTGACTCGGTCCATATCTCCACCGCCGGCTAAAGTGAAGAAACCTCCACACGCCCCTCCGGCAGACGGCGGAGTTGACGATAAAGCTTCCAACAAAACGACACCGTTAGGCGGCGGGTTTGACTCCATAATTGGAATGTCAATAATACTGGTCACACTAGTTATAATGATGCTATGGGGTAAGGTCTGTGCAATTCTTTGTACTTCTGCATGGTTTTTTATAGCGCCACGTCTTGGGGCCGCCGGGGAACATTCCGCCGTAGCCACGGCGGAGAAACGACTGCCGGAACCCCATAATAACTTGGATTTGGATTCGGTGGAGTACAAGAAAAAGGTGGTTTTGGAAGGACTTCTTCAAAGAAACCACCGGAATGTTGTTGGTCGATTGTAGGTGTTCTTCATTTTATTTGTTTTTTTTTTAATTTTTAAATTTAATTTTTCTTTTTGGGGTTTTTCGTAGTGTTCAAGAAGATCGTATATACAAGATTTTGAATTTTTGTACTAAAATGGTTTTTTTTAATTATTGTTTTATGTTTTTACGTTGTTTGATTATTATAAAGATGCTTAAACTGCATTTACGACGGTTACTGTTATGTTATATGTTTCAGTAACATCAGGAAAAAACTTGTGAACATGATAAGCAGATTACTTAAACATGAAACGTGTCTAATAGTTAGGGGTGAGCAGCGGAATCGGGTATCCGCTTGCGGAACCGGAACTGCCTTAAAACTGACGGTTCCAGAACCGAAACCGATATCAATGGTTCCGGTTCTTAAAATACGGAACCGATTAAGAATGGTTCCGGTTCTTAATTTTTCGGAACCGTTACCTGCCGGGGGTCCCGGATACCCTGTATTTTTCAATTAAAAATTAATTAACTTTTTTTTAATACTAAATTTAAATTAGGTCAAAAACTTAGAACTTTAGATTCAAAATTTGAGATAAAATGATTCGTATTTTTTTAAATTGTATGTTTAATTGGATTCGTATAAACTTTGAACATTTACAATTATAGTATGTAATTGTTAAACTTTCAACATTTACTATTATTCTATTATGGTTTGTAATCGTTAAATAATATTTGTAACCATTATTCCAAATAATTTGTATTATTGTTTATTTATTTAGTGTTTTGACAATGTTTTTATTTTTTATTTTTTATTTGTAAATAACAATTTTTTAATAATTTAGGAAAATAACCGCTCTAACCGGTTCCGGTTCTAATATTTCAAGAACTGCCGGTTTCGGTTTCTGTCAAATAGGGGTACCTGTCTATGCTCACCCCTATCTAATATGTAACCTGTAAGTGAAAATATATTTGTTTATGACCGATTTAGACCAAATAATAAGCTCCGGGAGCTTGTGGTTCTGTAAAGAGCGTTTCAAAACATATCGAATCAAAACATGGCTATGAGAACTTTTGTGAACACCGGAAATAACCCTTTGTGGAAACATACAAAATATGTCGCTTTCATATACAACCAAATAAATTGTTACACCCTACATGCAAACGTGCAATATATTATCTGGGTTTTTTATGTAAGACATTTATGCGTACCATTTCTATTGCGTACCTGTAAAAGAAAATATTCATATCAAAACTCTAATTTTATACAGTACAATGTAGTTCACTGCATGACGTTTGAACTAAGTTTATATGATAAAAGGGCAAATTGTATGAAAAAAGTAACGTACTTTAACTTGATTCATATTTTGGATAACGTACTTTCAAACTTCCATTTTGATACCTAATATTTTAATTGTATGAAAAAAGTTGATTTGGGGTTATTCACTTTCGACATTTTTTATAACAAAAAGGAAACCAACAGATTAATATGCTTTTCATAGTAGTTCTTGTCTTCTGTTATGCCCCTGTTGCAGCCCTGTTTCGCTCACCTAGATTACTGATTTATCCTCTACGATTGTTGTTACTTTGTGTGAAACTGAAAATAAAGTTCACAAGCCTACTGTTAGCAATATTGTGAAGAATGATATTCTTGCTAATTGTATGTGCACTGAAATTTCATTGTTAGCAATTTGGACTTGTTCCTTTTTTCTTTCCAAATTTCATCTTCTTGGAGTAATAAACTGAATTCTTGATTTTATTGGATCTACACACTGTTTTGGACATTTCTTCACTACTTTGAGATTCAAAGGCTGCTTTGGACATTTATTCACTACTTAAAATTGTATGACTTAAATTCGTCAAATTAATAATTATTCAAAAACTATTATGTTTGATTTTTTTTGAAAGGCAAAAGGAAGGACAAGAAAGAGAGCTTCGACAACTATTATGTTTGATTTGATTATTATGTTTTTGTTTAGTCCCAAATTTGGAAAATTATTTTTGTTTGGACTAATATTGAATATTGTTTTAAACTAATAATGTTACGTTTGTTTGGATTAATATGAACATGTAGTTATATTTGCAAAACAAGTATTTTATTCAGATATCTGTCAAACAGTCATATTTCATTCAGTACTAAATCATACAAAAGGTTAAAATAGTAATTTGTTGTCATTCAGAAAACAATTATAAAACAATATTATTTCATTTAACACTTAACCATTATGATCCTTCTAATCATTCTGACCAGTTAACCATTCTGCCACCAAACCATTTAACAAGAAAATGTGTGAAATAACGATTTGCATAAATATTTTGATAAAGAAGCATTTTCGCCAACATTTGCCATACAAGAAACAGATCCCCATTCATAACCCCTACCATAAATCCCTCAATTGGATTTCCTCCGATTCTGCTCCATCTATCGCAGCAATGCCCACTCTAATTGCTCGCAACTTGAGCAAGCTATGGACCGGAGTAGTAAAGACCCCAATCATGGCGAATCAACGGAGTTCCTACAGTTTGATACCCATGGTGATTGAGCACTCATCGCGAGGAGAGAGAGCCTACGATATCTTTTCACGCCTCCTCAAAGAGAGAATCATATGTATCAACGGACCTATCGCCGATGATACGGCACATGTCGTCGTTGCTCAGCTTCTCTTTCTTGAATCCGAAAACCCTTCCAAACCCATCAACATGTACCTCAATTCCCCTGGAGGAGCCGTCACTGCAGGTTTCTGATTTTTTTTACTTTTTTTGTATATTTATGACTGTAGTTCAATTAACGCCTCTATCATGTTTTATGAATGATCTTTGTTAGGGTTTCATTTTTTAAGGATTGAAACCAGTTTGTTTCATCAATTCATTGATGAACATTGAGATAGGAATTGAAGCTTGGAGCCGAAATTAGTTCGGATATTGATACAGTAGAAAGATAAAACATTACAAAGAGAAATGAATCGACTATCATCGCCTAAGCTAAGATTGAGAAGAAGGCAAAACAGTCCGTATAATACGAAACTATATAAACAATAGCATAAACTAACATAACATCCCTTCAAACTTAAGAGTGGGAAGAATGAACAAGATTGAGTTTGGTAACAAGGTCCTGAAAACAGCATGGTAGTTGAGCTTCGTTGATGAGATAGGCTGGCTGATCAAATCGATGGTAGAAATGTGAACAAGCTGAACTGTCTTATGCACCACACAGCCAGTCGCTCTCAATGTGCCTCGTGCTATAAGACACTTTTTAATAAGAATAGAGAGTAAGTTGTGTTCCCACTGCATTAAGGTGATGGTGATTTGACATGGCAATTATTATTTCTTGTCTATTAGTGTTATTATTGACACTTATCTTTTTTGTAGGTCTTGCAATATATGATACAATGCAGTATATTCGTTCTCCAATTAATACTATATGTTTGGGTCAGGCTGCCTCAATGGGTTCTCTTCTCTTGGCTGCTGGTGCAAAAGGAGAGAGGAGATCTCTTCCTAATGCCACTATCATGGTCCATCAACCCTCAGGTGGATACAGTGGGCAGGCTAAAGATATGACTATTCACACTAAGCAGATTGTTCGAGTTTGGGATTCACTCAATGCACTGTATTCAAAGCATACTGGGCAGCCTGTCGATGTAATTCAGAAGAATATGGATCGAGACTACTTTATGACCCCACAAGAGGCAAAGGAGTTTGGTATCATAGATGAAGTCATAGATGAGAGACCAATGACTTTGGTGACTGATGCTGTAGGGAGTGAAGGAAAGGGGAAAGTTTCAGAGTAGAATCTGAATGTAAGAATTCCCTCTCTCCCCTTCTTGCATGTACTAAATCTGTTGAGTGCCTTACTCTCACTTGATTTTACATCGTTTTATGGAAAAATATCTCTTTTCCCACCTATGGATTTGACTCATATGCTGTAGAGCACTTTAACATGATCACTGTCTCCACAGTGAAGCTAGATGATGGTGGGTTCATGGAAATCAGGTTGCTGGTGTGGTGTTGGGGTTACAAATAATAGAAGTGACAATATGTATGCTTTAAGAAGATTGTCTATTGGAAAGTAACTAGGGTTTCATATATCAAACTGGAACATTTGTGAAATTGTAAAAGATTTTGAGAACTACACCTGATATAATTCCAAAGCACAGGAACAGAATATGATCTTCCTCCACTCCATCTCTAAAGAAGAAAAACTTTTACATTAGTTAATAGATTTTAAATGACCTTTCAGCTGTGTTAATTTTTTTTTATCTATTCTAAGGGAACATTAGGTCTGGCATATGATTGTGGGTTTTATAACCTTATGTTGTTCAATAAGTGTGCTATTAATACTTGGTTGGTGCTAACTGCTAAGTGCAATCTGCATCTTTGTCTATTTAGATAAATTTGTTGTGTTCCGTTCACAATTAACCAATGCCTCATCATCATCATTAGTGTCCATGGATCTTATCTGCTTAGCGTAGTCACCTAGCATCTCTCCTTTACCCTTCTTTATTTTCTTTTTGTTTGTGTTATGGGTTAGCTTCCATTTGGTTTCTATTATACTCTTTATCAAAGGGTTTCCTTTGGGTATCTTGGCAAATGAGCCAACTTGATATACTGTAATTATGCGAAAATGGCTTAGAAATCATGAAACTTTCACTCATCATCTATATTTTATGTAAAACTAAAACCTCATGTGATGAACATAGAACTTCCCCAATATCACATATTCATCCACTTGAGCTACTGATTTATTCCTCAGAATCCTGTGTCGTCCTACATATCAAGTTTGAGAGCCAGTAAAGATTGAAGCTTATGGGGCCAAAATAAAAAAAAAATTAAAGAGACTTGTTTAATTCGGCCCTCCATCTATAGGAGAAAGGCCCAGAGGCCATCCTCTACCTCCAACCCACCACCACCCAACCTTACCTCTAGCACTAGGTACATTGCCACTGTGACACCCAAATTCATACGTGCACACCAAATCTAATAATTAATTGATTGCACACCTAATGTAATAAACTAATTGATTGAAAATTTAGACACTAGCCCAAACACTGCATATAGATTGACTATACCATTTATTGAAATTAAAAAGCAAACTGACATCAATCTACAGACACATTGTTTGTACTTGAACCCCCACACATACCTCAAATCACACAACTCAAACGGGGGATATGTGTGTTTTTGATATATTTGGACTGATGGGCAACAGCATCACCAGAAGTTTCTAGATATTTGATACTGAAGACATCAATGGTTCTGGTCTGAACTCTGAAGCACAAGCCACTGGAAGTCTGGAAGTTTATAAATGCTTCTAGATGTTTGGGTTTGCATTTTAGGAGAATACATTTTTTTGAATCATTTTGTTTACATGGTATGGTTTGATCTGGTCACTGTTAATCTAATGATATGCTTGATATGCTATTAGATTTTGGTCTTTGGTTTTATTGCATGGGGGTTTTACTATCATTCCTTTAGATTCAAAATGATTAGGGTATTGAGAGACAATAATAGTTTAAGGGCAGTTTGTTATGAAACAGGAATGGATGGGTTGGGGTTGTGACTTGTGTGGCTTGAGATCTAAGGGCCCATGACCTTACTCTTGCAGATTAGAATTTGAAAAATGCAATATTTTCTAACTTTCAATTTCTTATCCTTTTCCCACAAGCTTTGATTATTTATTTGATCGTCGAACTATGGCTCATGATTTATGTGTGGGGTGAGTTTTAATTTAAATTGAATTGTTTTTCCCTTTAGGATGTTAACACATAGACCAATTAACTGGGATTTTTTTGGGGGGGGGACCACAATTTAAAGAGTTCCATGTCCAAGTCATTTCCTATGTAAATTTTCATTCATTTACATGGTATGGATCTTTGGTCTTAACAATACTCTACCTCCAGTGAAACTTATAGCTTTCAATACTAGAAACCTTCTGTAGTTCTCTGGACACCAATTGTCATTGTCTGGACCACTTCGCCCTTGATGGTTGTTTGTCAGACCTTGCGTAACTTAGGTGATCTTTAATCACTATCTACGGCTCTCATTGATACGCCTCCTTAGTCACCGGTCTCTCCCTGAAGGCTGATCGATAACCCTCGCCAAACAATGGATGACATCATGTTTTTACATTACTGCTTCTCCCAATCTGTCATGGATGATAGTGACCTACACCACTCCAATCACTGTCACTGATAGCCTAATCATGCCTACTGAACCCCCTATCACAAGTGACAATGCCCCACACCCATTGAAGGTGTTGCATGTGGAATGATAAATTGGTACGTCCATTTCTGGGACTAGCAGAGCTACTTGGGAGGCTTCATCAACTTTTGATCTAGCGTTCAAAGTCTCAATGAAAGGTAATGACATGAATTGATTTATTGGTTCATGCTTGTGGAAACTGATAAAGAAAGGCAATTACCCTCCTCAGAACCCATCATTCCTGTGACCAATGATTGGAAGATGGATGATGGCCTTACGGAGTGCTGTAGAGCATGTTTTATGTAGCTATGACCCTTTCTGTGAAGTTATCTAGATCTCATGCTTACAAAATTTCATATACTTATTCCTCACGTGAACAGGTGGACTCATTTCTTACAATGGTTTCCTCAATTCAAGATAACATATGAAGAGCTGCTAGAGCTTTTCCTATGATTTTAAAGTTCACTTGTATCTTCCAGAGAAGCTACCAGTGCCACACTCATAGGAGGTCTTTCTCGTAGTACTATATATTGCGGCCCCTCATGCTGAGTCATTGTCTCCCACTTATCGCCTCCATCATAACATCTTTTCATCTGAACTGAAATTATTAGGCTTCAACAATGATTTTTTTTTTCAGCAATGGTTGCTTTTGGTAAAAGAAACTTGGGTTCCCAGAAAGACAATTCAGCGAAGACACTTAAATACATTAGAAATGGTAAAAGTTTTGGGGGGTAGAAGGAGAGTGTATCATTATAATATATTTCTGGGCAGATGTATACAAGGTTTTAAAGTAAGTAAACGTGAGGCGAGGTGTTTTCCCTTGGCAAGGCGTAAGCCTCAAGGCGGTCCGAGGCGTAAGCCCCAAGGCAGAAAATAAAATAAAAAAAATATTTTATGTGTATTAATACACATCTAATAATAGTATTAAAATCTCAAAATATATTAATAGATGTAGTTGATATTATAAGATTTTAGTTTTATCACTTATTAAAAATACACACACACACACACATATATATACACGCAAACAAAGAAAACCTATCGGGACGATGGACAATGAACACAAAATGTAATAATACATTAACCCACGTAATATTGTCAATACACAATGCTGTAAATAAATTATATTTCCTTAATCAAATTCTCTATTTTAGTATATATAAAAATATATTTTATATCTCCTCTCCCACTTTGAATATATATATATATATATATATATATATATTCAATGTGGGAGACCTGAGAACCAGATAAGAGCTCATAGGAGATGAGGTGTATGGAGAACTGAAGAAGAAGAACTCGCAAAGGGCTGGAGGAGATGAGGTGAATGGAGAACTGCAAAAGAACTCGTGAAGGACTAGAGGAGACGAGCATGAGGGAGCAGAGAGAAACCTATGTCTTTTAAACCCTAAATCCATAATACCTGGGTATCGCCTCACCCCCGCCTCATGCGCCTCGGCGCCGCCTCAGTGACTCAAGGCATACGCCTCAACTAATCCAGAAGAGGCGCCGCCTCAGGTTCGTTTTTCCACCGCCTCGCCTCTACTGATTTTTACAACCATGGATGCATATAGGTGCTATGATGTGGCTTCATAGTTTTTGTCCTTAAATAATTAATTGGTAACCTGGTCTTGAAGGAAGTACAAGATGCACATAATTGTATTTCGGTATGAAAAGCATTGTGTAATTGTGTGGCTAATGCTACCTAAAGTAGACCCTTGTCCTTTATTTAACTGCATATTTAAGGATGCGTACTTACAAATATCTGACTTGTTTTGGTTGCTTTCTCATGTTTTGATGGATCTTGGGGGTACTTGTTTTATTCACAATTGGTTGCTTTCTCATGGTTTCATGGATTTTGGGAGCACCTTTTTTACTCATAATCTGATATTATTGATTGGATATATGTTCATGTTGGTGCAGGTATCCGAGTATGGGAATGTGTACATCTTCCCTACTTATATAGCAAAAGTTGACTTTGACACCCTGCTGATTCAATCCGTAAACAAAATCCAGTTCTATGCCTTCATCTTTTGCGGCTTTGATCATTTTGAACAGAATCGCGTAGTTTCTTGGCATTCTCAGTAAGTTCTATTTTTCAGATAAACCTACTTTATGGATACTGTATATTCATGAAGGGAGATCTTAAAATTTTATTTCATTTTGCTTATACTTGAAACTTAATATTAGTACCATCGCCACACAACTTTGCTTCTGCATTTTAGCTATGGATTTGGCTTTTCACAATAAGCCCTGATCAGATCTCGAAAATGCCTTTACCAAGCCTAATAGCCACTTGTGTATTATAAAAGGTTTGTACTTATAGCCACTAAAAGACCTTTTTACCACTTGTAATTCTTTTCAGTTATTTTTACTGAGACGAGAGGAGATCTAGAGATAGAATGTGACACTAAGGGCCTGTTTTTTAGCAGCTTAATGGGACACTCAGCTTATTCGGTCAGCTATATATGACTTTTTGGTAGTGGCTTAATGATATAGAAAGTGGCTTATTGAGTAAGCTTCAGGGGGCGTTTTATGCTGAAAGGCAAGTTTTTTTTTCCAAAACTGGCCCTTCTAATTAAAAAACACGCTCCTTCCATCTATGAAAAAAGCCTCCCAAACAAAGACCTTATCAATCTATACAGACAGATTAATCTACCCAGACAGCTTTATCCATACATAACTTAATGGAAAACCAACCAAACAGCCTTAAGTGTTGTTGTGGATGCATTGATTCTGTTAGCCGTAAAAGCTTTCCAAATAGTAGGTGGTTAGCAGTATATATTACATGTCATAAGTACAGTTTGTGTCATTAAGATCTTTGTGTACAGGTCTTGGCTAGTGTCTTTGGGCAGTCATCTTCAACACCACCTTTGTTTGCTACATTCAGTACCATCACTAGAGTTGTCGTCATCCTTGCTGGTACTGGCAAGAGTGGTTTTCTGAATGCTTGTTGCATGATCGAGTCAATAAAAGCAAACTCTAAACCCTAAACCCCCCTGGCACAATGGAAATATGATCCATTTGTATAATTGGATGTCCAGTTGGCATAAAAGAAGTATATGACATCCATGGCATGTAGGTTTTGGATGGAATTTAGCCACCATATTGGTTATTGGAGGAGGTGGTTCAATGGTGGTTTCAGGTGTAGCAGTTTGTGGGGGTTTCTGTGTTCGGTAAACAGGGAAAACATGAGTATTGAATTTAATAGAAACTTGCTTTGGGGAGTATGGTGGTTTCCGTATGTATATGTATGCAGATCTGACCTCCACTAGAAAAAACAAAAACCGGCTCTTTTTATGAACACCTCAGCTGGTGAAAAGTGTGTGAAAAGGGAGAAATACATATATGCTAAAAATTGGAAAACTAGATGAGTAAACGAGAGTAAATTACAAGTAGAAAGAGGGAAGTACAAATATGCTAGAATTTGAGACATTAGATACTGGTAAGCAACAACAATATCAATATAAATAACAAGTAAAGGTGAAACATAACCGCAATGTGGAAACTACACACCCCTAGGAAAAGCAGGCACATTCTGTAACATTTGTGAAATTACATGCCCGTGACTGATCGAACAAAATACAAGAAAGTTTACCGGCCATGGTCGTTTTCTTTTGTCTAAAGCTTCACATATCTAAAAGTCGTGTGTTAATCCAATATATGTTCTCGTAAGTGTACAGGAGATACAGGTATTGTATCCTCCTACTTCTTATTCTGGGGGTCATAGAAAGATACGAACCGCCTAATTTTTTATGGTCACCCATCAGGCCGTCGCCTTGGTACAAATCTCTTATTGTTATGTCTGAGAATATATATATATATATATATTGATACATGTTTGTAGGCGAAGGTTCGTGTGAGAAGCGTAAGAAGAGATCTGAACACTTAATCATTTTTAATTTCATACCCACTCATGAATTGTGTTTTAAAAGGGAATTGATCCGGTCCATCTAGGTGCACCTCATTAGTGATGACATTCAGTTGGGATTGATCCAAGGATGGATTCTTTTCTTACGTTCTCACCATAACTTCCCTTCTCACCTAAATCCAACTCGGTGTGTGTATGTATATGTATGTATATATAGAGAGAGAGATAGAGAGGGGTTCAAACGAGAATAGTAACAAAATAAAAGAACATGTAAATGGCCAAATCATGTACAGAATCACATGTGATTTTACGTTAATGGTCAATGCTAGAGTGTGCAGGCGACATGGCCCGAGACCTCATGTCGCTGCCAAAGTCGCGTGAATCACATGTGATTTTACGATTCGACTTAATCTCTTATTTGGTTAATATTATCGTATTAACCTGACACTCTCTCTCTCTCTATATATATATATATATGTGTGTGTGTGTGTGTGTGTGTGTGGTGGTTCAAACGAGAACGATACTATTTTATGTAAACGCGAGAACACTTGAAGCAAACAACCAGTACATGTGATATTGTATGGGGTCAAATAGTGTGCGGGCTACTTGGCCCGTGACCATGATCACCTTGTATCCGTTGTGTATTTGTGTATATGTTACTAGTCTATTGCATGTAATAATTGTCTATTTCAGGTGTTCTCCCAGTCTGGTTAAATTGTACCATTTTCGTTTGAACCGTTTCACACACACACACACACATATATATATATATATGTATATATATATATATATATGTATGTATGTATATATATGTATGTATGTATGTATGTATATATATATATATAGGGTATATTTCTTTTACAACCTTGTGCATTTGTACAACCTTTGCAACCCAATTAATTTGAGATATTTATAGAAATGATTGGAGTTCATTTATTATGATTTGAATATTNTTGAATATTTATGGAATATGAATAGAGTTTATTAATTATGATTAATACTTTATATTAGGAAACAATTAATTGATTAAAAATTGAATGGTTGAGATGAGGGYTGYATAGRGTGTAGGAATGGCAAAGGGTGTAGAATAACATTCCTCTATATATATATATATGTATGTATATATATATGTATGTATGTATGTATGTATGTATGTATGTATGTGGATGGCAAAGAAAGAGTCCAACAAAAGTTATTGACTTGCAGGTAAGTTTAGTCTTGCCTCTTTCTTATGCTACTTTGTTGACGAAGGATAACTTGTGTTTTTTCTTGTTTGACTGAAGAAAGGGTCAAGTTCCAAAACACTCATTTGATTTGTGGAATTTAGACATGCAACCCATCTAATGATATGTTTAACCAAGATGTAATAAAAAGAAACTGATTGTTAAAGGAACCCAATATATCTCACTTTGATTTTTAGGATAACAGTAAAGAGATGTAACAGATGTTTTGTTACAGAAAAAACCTTGACCGTTGTGCTAGATCGATCTAAGGGGTGTTTGGGATTTTACTTATTTGAAGTGTTTTATTAACTTATTCTGATGTGGTACTGGTAATTAAGAGTTTTTAGTGTTTAGACGGAAAAGAAAGAAATACTTATACTAGTTTGACATCGATAATAAAGAGTTTTTGATAAGTTATTTTCTTCTAACTTATTCCAGTGTGGTACTTGTAACAAGGAGTTTTTACAGTTTTGATGGGGGAAAATGTTTATTAGCTTATTACGTTTTAGTACCGTCATAAGCTAATGCAAACACTTTTTATAAAACTCCGGTTTGGCACCGTATAAATTGAAAAAAAAAAACATAAGTTGTTTTAAATAAGCAAATCTCAAACGCCCCTAAGATGGGAAGGTTTCTTGCGAAGAGGATGTTTTGTGGTTTTAAAAATTAAAATGGTGCAGTTTCCAAAAATTTGACCGATATCAGCTAAAAATATCTTTAATCGGTTCCTTTTTAACGCTCACAACGTAACCGGTTCGGATCCAAGCTTTAATCAGCCCATGGTCCTTGAATAAGTAATACGATGATCTATTCCATTGCAATAAAATTTGACAAATGTTTTGATGACCGAGAATATTACCCGATAAGGTAAGTGATGGTGGTGATTTTATCTGATAAACGTTTGATGTACAACCCTTTAATGAAGAGGCATAAGTGTGGACCTAATAACTTTAGTTGTGTATGATTACAGTTATTTATGATTAACTGTCTGTTAGAACTGAGTAATAAAATTAAATAAATTATGATTTACAAAAGATGGTTAGTCAAATCAAGAAAATTCAAATTAACAATACAATAATAGCCTACTCGTAACAAGTGTATATAAAATAATATGATCTTGTGCATGCTCGTATTCGTATTTTATGTTATATTTCTATAGGATAATATATGTAGATTGATAGAGACCAATTCGAGATGGTCAATCTTCAAGAAAGAGTCAAAACTTACAAGAAGAAGTTTGAAACAGTTTCCATCTTAGTTTCATAATAAACGGAAGTATAATACTTATAGTAATAACGAAGCAACCTCTAAAACTAAGCCACTCGTCTACTAACAAACTCAGTTGTCGACGTTTTGGGCCAGATCTAACCAAAACGTAACCGTAATTCACTTGAATCATCCGGAATGGCAATTACTGATTAAAAACAACTAAAATGAGAATAAGAGGTTATCATGGAATTTATAGCTTTGCAAGGCTTAGGGGCTGTTTATCAAACATTTACCCGGTAAGTGCTTACCGGTAAAATTTAACATTATTATGTACTTACCGGGTAAGATTTTAGTCCACCAAAACAACATCGTATGCAACAATTTACCGGTAAGTGCTTACCATGGTAAGAGTCGTCGCCCTCACTTACCGAGTAAGACTTTTGGTCCTTGTCTCGCTCTTACCGGGTAAAATTCTTGGTCCTTACTATATTCCTCCGATGAGGTAATGTTACTTGGTAATCGCTTACCCAGGTAAGCATTTGGTAAACGGCCCCTTAGTTTTTTTGTAGGGTTTGAAAGTTCGAGGTCTAATTATGATATTTGATTATTTATGGTCAAAATAATCAGATGTTGATCATTAGGTCAAGAGTTGACGTGAGAAGGTTAATTATTTAAATAAACGTAAAGATTACAAAACTATCCATAATATTAAGTATTGTTTATCTGATTTCGATTTTTTAAGTGCATATGTTGAAAATGCATGGTTAAACAATCCCTAAATTCCCTTCCTTTTATTTATATACTGCAATGTTAATCAGTTATATTGTCTTACGAGATTCTTTTTTTTGTTCATTTCATACCATGAAAAACTCTATCCAAGAGTCTGTTTGGCTCATGTTAAGGAATGAAAATG